TTTTCTAGGTGAACCGATTTTGATGATTCTTTTTTATTTGAATTTCATGTGATCCCATACAAATTTGATGAAGGTCTAATCAGTGGTTTTTGAGTTGTCCTTAATAATTTATATTGAATTCGGTTACATACCTGGTAGAGCCATGCTGCATCTATATTATGGTTGTAGCACGAATGGGTCGGCTCGACCGGGGAAGGACCACGCTCTCACAGAATACCAGCGTAAAATAGCAGCTTAACGCTGCTGTGTTTCGTATGGTGAGTGTAGAGAACCGGAGACCCTTTTTACTGGACAAGAGGCATTCCATCTTAGTCCTCACGGGTGACAACGCATCTGCATTTTGACTCTTAATCGAAGATAGATGTAGATGTCTATGGGCCACAACGACCACTTACCATCAGGTGGACTGTGTGCTCGTTTGTCACCCTTATCCTATAAAAAAAAAACATAAAATTTATAATTGTACCACTTGTTAGTTAAGAAATTGTGTTATCTGGAAGAAATTGCTGTGTAGGAATAAGACCGCCTATTGTTTTAGTTAAATTAATCTATCCTTGGTGTTTATTAAGTATATTGTATTGTAATTTTAGGCTAATATTATGTATATCATTCTCATGGTAAACCTCAGAAGTAACAGTGCATTCGTTACCCTGTACATATATTTAAAGGTGTCCATGGGTTTCGTGACGGTCCCTAACCATCAGGTGAACTGTTAGTCTTTGCATTTTAATGTTTCTTATAAAAACACTGTGTATGATCCACGATCATACACATGAATTCCTACTGTTCATTTTTGAGGACTACGTGACACAGTAAATTAGAGTACAAGTACAGGGATCATTCATTCGAATCCTATCCTATCAAAGCCAATCACATGATATTAGAAAAGTCGCCAAAAATTTAATGCCTAGAAGATGTGCTACATCATAGTATACGCACTAGGTTAATTTCTGTTACAATATCTTATGAATAAAGAACTTTTTATATTTTATTATATAGTACGATTTCAGTCTTAATACATATATATTAAAATACTTATAATCTATTTCGTGTGAACCATATTCGTCTTAAATATTTCTAAGCAGTAAGCAGTAGGTAACATTAACAAAGATAAAGACCTATCTCACACATAAAGTCCGTCGTCAAATACCAAAGCCGTATTTCTCAACAAAGTAAAGCCGTATATATATTATATAAGTATCTATATCATGGCGCCCATTATAATGGAGAATAATTTTGCCGGTGTATTCGCTAATACATTATCGAGCCGTTATATCCGCATATAATGGCAAGGGAATGCGTTTATTGTTAATATGCGAGGATATGGATTCGATAATGTGGCTTTAAATTTTTGATATATTCTTGTTTACATTTTTTTTATTCAATTAAAGAGTGAGAAACAAGCTTATCATGCCTGAGCATTATAAGCTACTGCAATCCATGGACACCTGCTTTTAAACAAAACGGTATTTTAAACAAAAAGGGCTACAGGTTGAAGATAGCAAGACTCATAACCTGAGTTGATCTAGTGGTCGTAAACGCGACTGTGGATTGTGAGGTTTGAATACCGGGTCGAGCCGAAATCTTAATTATTTGGTTTATTTATTAAGAGATTGTCAGTAGCAGCCTGGAGTTAGGAAGTCGACTGTGTTTCACGTTAGTCCTGCTCATGATTTCTCTCCGGTCGTCGGTCCGTCCCATCGGACTGACAGTGAAAGAATAGAGAGTGAGCACATAGTCGTGCACTATGACGCTTTTAATAGAAGTAAGAGTGTCAAACGAATACATATACAAGTGGATGCTATCAGATACATCTATCCTCCATTAATAATCAAATAAACGTATCTGTTGTCACCCCTAAATACTACCCTCATGCCTCGTTTCCAGTAAAATGATTGTCCCGTTCTAGTAACTATGCTATTTTATACTGATATTCTGTGCGAGCGTAGGCATTTCCCGGTAGCCGACCCTTTTGTCCTACAACAATAATATACTATAGCGTTGGTCTACCACGTAAAAACTCTACTCTACTCTACATATTCTTCAAACTAGAACACAACGGTAGCTGCACTACTGTTTAATGACAGAAGTAGGGAAGGGTGTTGTACCTGCACAGGCGGACTCTTAAGCAGTCTCCTCCTTAAGTTTTGTAAGCAGAGTTTACGTTATTAAGATGCAGGAAAGGAGAACAAGTCCTACCACATATTAAAATAAAAGCTTTGATTAATTTTTGACAATCGTATTGCTTAGTGGTCACCACAGACGGAGCCAATATTTGCGCAAAAACAAAAAATTGTTTGACAGTATCGACGTTATGTAAACGTTCCCATGACACTTCGGATGCTTACGTTCGGGATGAGTACGTAAGTGCCTCTTTGTTTGCGTGTGCACTTTCGACTCTTTATTATATTTAATTTCCTGTTTATTTGAAAGCTTTTAATAGTTGTTGGAAGTTATTACCGTGACCTAAATCGTTCAGAAGAATATTAATAAGTCATCAATATAAATTATTCTAAACTTATTGCTCACCCATCAATATATTATACAGTTAATGTAAATCGCAACGGTACGTTAAATTCGATCGACTAGTAAAATAAATTTGCGCTTCTCCCACAGCGCCTCGTCGCATTCCTGTCCAATTGCAGTTTCAATTATTGAAAATAGCTATTCAAAATATTTTGAAAATTGTTTCATAACGGGCCACGGCACCGGGGTCGACGCAGCGCCGCATTGTGAAGCGCGTTTGCACTGATTCAGCAATTCAAAGTATCTCGCGGGTTATGTCAATTGGCGAGCGCTCGTGGAGCTTTTTATTTTCTCCATTTATAAATACTTTGTGGAGTGGTTTAAATATGTAAAAAAATAGCCGCCCAATTAACGAGGTTTTATTTTGCATTTTCAATTCACAGTTTGTTTAATTAATTTAAATTGATTGCTGCTTGGGTCATCTTTTTACAATGGTTGAGTACTATCTATGTAATAACAGTTGCATGTACCTAAAATTTTAATCGCATGAAGCTTTACAAACCCAATATGTAGTCCTATTTGCAGCGATGTAATGTTTATGATGTTGGTGTTCAGATAAATAAATAAACAGAAATATTTGATATCAAAAATAAATGATATAGGATTTCGAGACTTAAAAGTTTAATTCTGTACCATTATACGAGCAATATATAATACTTATATATTATATAATGTAGTAAACGCATTCTTAAAAAGGCTCTAAAAATTTCGATGAAATTTAAGATGACGGCTTACGAGAGCGATTTTATTTTTGCTTTTGTATTTTAGACCACATGCTTTCCCCACAGCTGGGCAAAAATAAACTATTATAGACTCATTTGCGGACTTGCGGACATTTATAATGGCGATATGCGTATACTTTTTAACCATGATATCAAAGCTTTGGTCAAATAATCTGTAATTATTGTTTTACAGAAAATCATGGCATTGATAATATACTCTTATTTAATATTTTTTTGATCTATTAAAATAAAAATAAAAACATATTTATATGAAACTGGTTTCTCGGAAACGGCTCTCATGATTTAAATGAAATTTTATACTTATATAATGCAATTAAAGTTTTTCTAAATAGGTGTAATGCCTGAGAAAATTATATTTTTAACTAACGCCGAGCAAAAGTAGGCATTTTTAATGTTAAACTAAATTTCTATTAATGACTCACTAGTTTCACAGTGAAATTAATAATAATGGACTTTCATCTAGCATTGAAATAAATTCATTACGATACTTACCAAAAAAAAACTCCAATTACATTAATTACGAAATATAGGTAGGTACTTTATAGGTGACTAACTTATAAGGAATATTTGGTAACACTCTTTTATATCCTAAATCAAAACGCGTCTACAGCCTAAATTATGATCAACTATTCTGATAAAAACACCCAAAAGTTGTTTAAAGTACAGGTGAGGTGAGGACAGAAGTCGACGCGTAAATTTGGACCACGCCTAGGCAATTTGAAACTGTGATGTCAGCGTTTCAAACACGGGTTAAACAATTACCTCGCTCACTAGCGTTTGCTTGAGATGTATTATGTTATCGATGTTATTCATTATGGTTATGATAGAATTTTACAAACTTAAATCACCGCATCTTACGAAATTAAGTAAGTCTCCGGTCATAGATTTTGGATTAAGTAACGATTCTTATATTTTTGGGAATTCTACACTTCATCATCATCATTCCACTGTCACTTTCACAAATACACTGCTGAACAAGGATTCACTGATCAATCATTGGGATACCTATCGCAGTGATCGGGCGTTAAAAAACATGATGGGTGAGAATGTTCCCTTAGAATTAAGGGTTATTCTCAGGAAATTCATTAAAGACTAGCGACCCGCCCTGGCTTACCCTGGATAGTATCTAATGATATGGCGTTATTTAGATTAAATACCATTTTACCAAATAATCGTTTTTCAAAAAAAAATTCTTCATATTTTTCCCCTCCCGATATTGCTCTCAATCTTCTCAAAAATTTTTATTATGAGCGGTTCGGCCAGCATAGACAGACAAACAACTTTTTTTTAATGGACATTTATGTACCGATGGCATGTGAATAACCCGCATTTATTCAGACAGACACTTATTTTTTTAATACGTATAGGTTTAAAAATGAATTAGCTATAATATGCGAGAATAATAATATGGTAATATTGTGTATTTTCAAACTTAGAATGAGTTAAAATAACTATTTTTCATTTCATATTAAGAAGTGTTTAAAAACAAAAGATCACATTTAAATATGTAGTTACATGTTATGCACATTGCAGATAGACTTTTATGAACATAAACAGACATGTATGTATATGTACCCTTGTATGCCCATGTATGCATATACATTTACGTGGGTGAAACTCCATTTCACTCACAATTTCTTAAGGTTTAATTTCTTCGTCACTACATATTACTTTAACTTCCCCATTCGCCGCGTTTTATAATCTAATTGAGTTCAATAAATTGTGTTACAGGAAGGAACGAGCTCATAGCGAGATATATTAAACTAAGAACAGGAAAGACCCGCACAAGAAAACAAGTCTCGTCTCACATACAGGTGCTGGCCAGGCGGAAGCTGCGCGAAATCCAGGCCAAACTCAAAGTGGTAAGTGAGCAATTCTCGCTGAAGTTACTGAACTAGTTAAACCACGAACATTTATTAAAATATTTAAATAATCGTAATAATTACATGAAAGTTTGCAATTTGATACATCACATCAATTATCTCTTTTTGAAATGTATATCTAAATATAAAATCACTGATAACTATCGTGGGAAATTTACGTTTGAATATTAATAATTAACATCTACATTGTAAATCAATAAACAAGTAATAAATATATATAAATAAAATATCTAGGACGGTGGGGTGATGAAAGAGAAGGCAATGCAGTCTATGACCACACTGTCAAGCGCACAGATAGTTGCGGGCTTGCCGCATCCGGCGTACCACCATACGGTACATCTGCAAAAGGCATGCCTTTGTGTTTCTTGGCGGGAAAAAAAAACTAGATTGCCTATAAACTGTGTTGCTTACACTCCGTTCCCCGTTACTCGGATTTCGCCTAACTCGCAGGTTCTCGCTTCCCCGGTACTAGTGAGCATTACGATAGAGCCTATGTATGTTTTGCTTGACTGTAGCACGATCCGGGCAAAGAGAATATAATCACTACGTTTAGATCCGGGCCACAGATTTGAACAAGTTAGACAGCTACAAAAACTTGTCGCGTTGAATTCCTTTTTAAGTGTGATATGATTGTTAAAGCTTGGACGACAACACGTTGCTTGAAAAATTGGTCAATTTTATTTAGAACGCAACTGCATTTGATAATCTAATCCAACGTGCGATCGTGTTTGATGGTTTCATTTATAAAATATCTAATCTGCTATAAATAATTGTGTACTAAGCATATCCGTGGATTTAAAAATTTTAATAAATTCCAAAATAAACAAAATTATTCACGGACATTAACTTCACTGATTTGGATGGAAATATTTTCTGAATCTTTTCCTTGTTGCCATCATTAGTCAATCATTTAGATTTTATCGTATGAAAACATATTTTTTTAGCTTTACAAATATATTTTTGGCGAAGACGAGTTACAGTGAACGGGTTACAAGCAGGCATGCCGCTGCATCTCACGCAATGACCCGCGCTGTAATCGAAATAACATCACAAATTCGAATTGCTTTACTTACAACATAACTCAGTGTTTTCTGCACCGACAGGGCTGTGTATTTCGAATTTTATTCGATTGGATTTAAATTAATTAATTAATTTGTTGTTGTCATTACCATTCTCTTCACCTTGATGTGTCCATCTATCTAGATTAAATACATTAAAAAGATTTCAACAATTCCATGCATTAAACTTTGCTTTCCCTTCTGATTGAAACACCTGTGTAGGGTAGTATGTGCTTGTTGTATGTACATGCATTGTACAACGTATGAACTGTCCGTAATGAACTCTCTGCAATACTAATTTGTTGCTACTTACTTTATGACAATCTGTTCAAAATAAAAGATTGAAATAAAAATTGTCGTTAGTATTTTTTTACTGCGAGTGTTGCTAGTCGTATGGAGCCCAAAGTATTAATTTTAATTTAAACTACCTATTTCTAGACTTAAAAATGTTATGTTATAATATTTTGACTTTAAAGCTTGAGATGTGTAAAAGTGTTCCATTTAATTTGAAATGTGCTTCAATTAAATAGTGTGTCAGATATGCTGCTCTTAACAACGTGAGCTACTTTTTAATACATTTCGCTTTTAATTAAAACATTTATGGTCTTTTTTAATACATTATGTTCAGTAATATTCATTTCTCATTTCAGCAATTTTGGCAACCTGGACTGCAAGCCGGTACCTCTCAAGAGTAAGTTAATATTATTATTAATATAGAAAGTTTGAAAATAGTTAATGACGTAAAAGTAAAAGGGTTTTACATAATTATTGTTATAAGTTAAGCGTTACTAATTTATTATATGTGTTGTACACTTCATGAATAAGTAGTTAATATAAATCGCATTTATGGGTTTTTTAAAGGATTTTATTTGTAATGGAAAATACTACCTTTATAGGAGAACATGACATGTAAAGACTTACTTATTATTATTACGCTATAAACTTAGCTTCTACAGAAATTGGAGCGGCCAGAATACTATTACAAAATCCGACATCCCATCGATTGCGTTTAATTCTAATCTCTCCGGGCACATTCTCGTTTTTAATAAAGTTTGTGAATATATGGAACCGTGGTACAACATGCAACTCCAGTTCGATTCCCGCCGTAACTATTGAAATTGTTAATTGAAATTTTAAGGGTTGATTAACCAGGTACTCAGCAGTGAATTAAATATCGTGAGGTAATTTGCACGTCTCAGAAATTGAAAATATTCCAATGAGATGTGAAATCCACTAAATTACTAGGACAGCGCGTACAGTAGGTACATAGTTTAATAGTCAGAACACTTAATTGAGAGATCCTAGCTTGAGGTGTTAATAATTACACAAAATTAACATTTATTTTTATTTTCGGGAGTTATATAAATGTATTAGAATGTACTATTAGAATAACATCTTAGCCTACCATTTTTTATATAACATTACATTGACCAACAAACTTACACTCATTTTACGTTGTATGACATGGTATGTGGCTAATGTAGCGAATAAACATCTGTAACCAACTTTAAATAAAGATGACAGTTGACACTCCTGAGAAATAAGATGCAATACTTCACAGTGTGTAATTGTACTGGCTTTCTTATCTTTCATACCGGAACACAACACCATACCACCAGTTAAAGTAGTATTTGATAAAATACTAAAACTACAATTACCTAATCGCAGTCATCTTAAATTATCATTTTTATTCTCAAACATAATATAAGGACGGGAAAAAGATTTTCCGTATTTTATATACAAATTCAAGACATTTTTTTTCAAAGCTTAATTAGATTTAATAACAATATGTATGTGCCATTTTGTTCGCAAACTTGTTGCCATCTTGTAGCTAGTGACATAATTCCGTTGCTGTAGAAATCTTGGAATTTTTGATCAAAAAAATGTGACAAGTAGTTTTGACAGTCCTCTTTGATGTTAACCTAAGACTGCCCAAAGAATTCTGAAGAGACCGAAGCAGAAGAAAATCTGAGGGTGTAAGGTCAGGACCATATGGCGGATGCATTAACACTTCCCAACCAAGCTCTCTCAATTTTTGCTGAGTGGCCAAAGATGTGTGATGTCTGGCGTTATCATGATGAAATACCACTCCTTTTATGTTTAACAAATTATGCCGTTTTTTCTCAATTTCTTGCTTTAGTCTCATTAGTTGTTGACAGTAGAGATCCAAATCAATTATTTTGCCCGATGGTAAAAACTAATAACATACGATGCCACCTTATTGCGTGTTAATCCGGGTTTGCTACAGTCTGTGGAACATGACTACCCTTTGACCATGATGTTTTTCGCACGTTCTTGTCGTAGGTTATCCACTTTTCGTCACCAGTCAGAAATGGTTCGATTTCTTTCAGTGAGCTCGTGTGGTTTCCAAATATCGAGCTTTTTTTATAGCCAGACTTTTTCAAATGGGTCAAAACTGTTTTGTGGTCAATCCTCAATTAATGTCGTAACTACTAATATTTTTTTTATAGAATAAGGGTGACAAACGAGCACACAGTCCACCTGATGGTAAGTGGTTGCTGTGGCCCATAGACATCTACATCTATCTTCGTTTGCGAATTCAAATGCAGATGCGTTGTCAGCCGTGAGGACTAAGATAGAATACCTCTTTTCCAGTAAAAGGGGTCTTCGGTTCTCTACACTCACTATACGAAACACAGCAGCATTAAACTGCTATTTTACGCTGGTATTCTGTGAGAGCGTGGTCCTTTCCCGGTCGAGCCGACCCATTCGTGCTACAACTATACTATTAATATAGCTGCAGCATTGCTCTACCACGTAAAAAATCTGCCGATCTTGCTCTACTGTTTCAAAAATGGCATAGAATTTATCCCTATGAAGGCGACCAGAGCGAGCTGCATCTTTGACGTCAAAATTGCCGAACTGGAAACGCTTGAACCAACTTTGTACTACTCTTACTGAGACTGCATTAGGTCCATCAACGTCACAATTTTTTTTCGCGACTTGAGTCGCATTTTTCCCTTTTTTGTAGTAAAACTTTAGAATGTATGAAATTTCTTCGTTAGATTCACTCATTTTGGCGGACAGAAAAACAATTGAAAAATAGCAGGAAAGTGTTTTTTTATTTTTATTTTTTTTTAATGTCCTATATGTATTAATATTAAAACCAGCCAGATACAAACAGTACAACCAAAGATATTTTTATTCAATTTTGTACAATCAAAATACGATAATATGATAATATAATATGTTTAGTTAAAGTCAAGTAAATATTTAAAAAACTTTAGATTTATTTGAAGTTAAAATAGTCCCGAACTATAGAAGTTGTGTAGAATTTTTTAGAGAAAAAACATTTATTGCAGCAGGTCCTTTTTTGAAGAGATGTTACAGAAAGGATCTGTTGTCAGTTTCACTGAAAATCATCACTCACGATAATCCATCAGATTGAATGAAATCATTATAATGTAAAAAAATCATTACTTTATAATCCTTCAACTTTATTACTACATTTTAAATACAGTCTACACCGATTTTTTTTTGTTTTAATATCTAATAGGCTTTACTACATATTATTAATCTGTAATAGTTTACTTTGCTTTCAGACTGAAATATTAAATAATGTGTTTAATTATTTTTACATGTTCCTTTGTTACATATTCGTATTTTGTGATATTGTATCGTCAAATAAATAAATCTAGTCTATGAAGAAAGTCATTACTACTGAATTCTGATCCAAACTTCAAACATCATTATCTCAAAAGTTACAGCCTAAAATATTTAATAATTAATAAAATTGTCTAGTAGGGTATCCTGATTATCCTCCTGTGTAGTTAACATAATTTGGTAGTATTCGGAAGTCCCGTTTCCAAAATGTTTTAAGCGAATAGATGAAACATTACACTAGGTGGGAGGTCCTTTTTCAGCTTAGGAGAAACGTCTGTGATGTAGTGTAAAGGGTAGAGAGAGACAGTATAATAACAGACTGTGAGGCCTTTCATATTAGGAGACCCCATTTTTTTTTAAGTTAGTGGCGTGTGTACATGGGCTACAGTTGCCCCTTACCATAAAGTGGACTGTCCCCTTAAAAACTCGTTTCTCAAACAAGATGCAATCGTACCTTAAAAGTTATCTATCGTACGGTCTATTCTGCCCAGTAACTGTCCATTGCTGGGCATGGACGTCTGTTATTAAGGACTTGTCGCTGTGTGTCGTACCGTTGTTACTGAAACGTTAACCTTAGTATATTACATCTTGATACAAAATATAAAATTATACTGCTATTTCCCATAGTCAACTTTTACCACGTCCACGACAAACCCTGGGATAGAATAATGTTTTTTTAATAGAATGGGGGTGGCAAACGAGCACACAGTCCACCTGATGGTAAGTGGATGTTGTTGTCCATAGACATTTATCCTAGATTAAAAATCAAAATGATGCATTGTCACCTCTGAGGACTAAGACGGAATACTTCGTTTCCAGTAAAAAGGGTCTAAGATTATTTACATTCACCAAACGAAACACAGTAGCATTAGGCTGCTGTTTAACGCTGGTATTCTGTGATAGCGTGGTATTACCCTGGTCGAGCCGACCCATTTGGGCTACAAGCTACAACTATAATCCATAATATAACAGCAGCGTGGTTATACCACGTGAAAAGTGTAATGAATTCAAGATTATATTCCTTCTTCGTCAATTGGAAAAAATCTAGACAATATTCTCTCTTATTGTAGGAAATACTTGTTTTGATCGCCACATTTGACACAGGTGACTTGAAGATAGTAGTAGACTCCCGCACCTTAGTCGATGCTATCTATCGCTGGCATGGGTGTTTACGCGTGGCATAAACGATATAGTTATATCGCTATCTATTACCTTGTTGATCTTGTAGTCGTATACGCGGCTGCTGATCATGAGGTCCCGGGTTCTAATCCCAGGTCAGATCAAAAAAAGTCATTGAGTTTTCCTCTTAAGAAACCCATAGGTAGGTCCACGTTCTTACGGAATACCAGCGTAAAATAGCAGCTTAATGCTGCTGTGCTTTGTATGGTGAGTGTAGAGAACCGGACATCCTTTTTATTGGAAACGAGGCATTCCATCTTTGTTCTCAGGGGTGCTAACACATCTGCATTTTGATTTTTAATCGAGGATGAATGAAGATGTCATACGTGTTTACGCGTGGCATAAGCCACAGTATCCACTTACCATCAGGTAAACTTTGTGCTCGTTTGTCACCTTTATTCTATAAAAAAACTTTGTAATCTATATTAAATAAAAAAAGAAGATTGAGCAAGGTTAACCGTGTGTGTGTGTGTGTACAGTGTGAAGCCGTTCCCGGGCGGCGGGTACAAGGGCGTGGGCGGCATGGGCGTGGGCGTGGGCGGCGCGCCCGACGTGGCGCCGCCGCCGTGGGAGGGCCGCGCCATCGCCACGCACAAGCTGCGCCTCGTCGAGTTCTCCGCCTTCGTCGAGCACCCGCGGGACGCCGACACGGTGAGTTGAAAACACCACTCCACACCTCATTGCACATACTGATACGGTTCATTTTGCATTGAACTTTACCCGCTACCAGATCGCCTCCAGTTCTCCGCCATCGTCATTATACATATGCCTCCTCTACACTACTCGCGAAGTAACTTTGACGAAGTGCTCGTCGAAGTCGATCTCAGTCCGAAGAACGTGACTCGTGCTTCTTCGCGATGAGTCTTGAGTCGCCCGCAATCTTAACATGAATAACGTTCAAGAGGCAGCTGCTATAGGTACCTAATTGTGTGAACAGTACGATGTGAATGCGTTAACCATAGATAAATAATTATGTAAAAAGCTACATATTATTTAATATTTATATGTAAAAAATAAAATATATAACTGGCGTACGCCGAGTAGTGTAGTTGTAATAGACAGTAACCACGGAAAATTAGCCGTGACGTAGGAAGGGAAAAAGAGGCAAAGTAATATGGACACTCGCGCGCAGCAATAAAGTTTTATTTAGCTGGCGTGCGCGATTTATCTAATTAATAATAATTATGTAAGCTTAATAGCTTTAAAAAACGTCGACAAGCAGTCCACTTCAAAGGGGTGTAACTTCTGTGCGTAGTACTATTATTTATTCCGTGGCTAGGCTCCATTATTGTGCTTATGTTTCTATGCCTTAATTGTGATTTCTCGTCCCGCTACCAACCGTCAAGTGTCCACAAATCCATCCTGACTAAGCTTAATGAACATTTAAGTAAGAACTTTTATATTTGTATTCTCAATTTTATTTTTTGATTTTAATTTTATTCATATTGTTTTCAGTACCCTCCAAGTACGGCGCCGGCGCAGCACCTATTCGTCCACATAGGCGGCACGGTCACGTACGCGGATCCCTTATTAGAAGTAAGTACTTTACTTTTTTATGAAAATTTCAAGTGTGAAACAAAACAAGATTGTCAATCCGTTAAGCGTGGCGATAACTTTTCATATACAAGTAAATGTTATAAATTATTTTTCATATAATATTGAATCAATATGTAATAAGTGCGAGTGGCAGAGCCGGCAAAGGTCGCGATAGATAGAGGTTTATCAATCAACTTGGTCATATTATTGAAGATAAGTCTAATTTGGAGCACCTTTAACAAACAAGCGTGTAATTGTAGATATATAAATGAGACAAGAGCGAGAAATTTGTATCAGGATCGTGCCAAATGGAAGTCCGTAGTCTCTGCCTAACCCTCTGGATAACGGGCGTGACGGCTTATGATAATATTATGATTATGAATTTAGAGTGACAAACGAACACACGGTCCACATTTAGATAAGTGGATGCTGTGATCCATAGACCCCTACATTCCTCTATGATTAGAAATCAAAATACAGATAGATTGTTCGTGTAAATATCTAGGATTTACAAATTTTAATGTATAGTTTCTATGCAAAACATTTGTTCTATCACTGATTAAATTAACAACCACCAATATTGCATAGACCGCTCACGAGCTCAATGCAAATTGGCGCGCCATGCTTCTGCAATATGGCGGCAATCACATAGATGTAGCACGTGTTAAAACAGCATTAAAATTGCCATTAACAAGTGTCGCTGGAATCATACTGGGTTGTTTGCATACTGTAAAGTATAAAGCGATAGCTCAGCCCATGAACTACCTCGACTGTAGGTAAATTAAAAAAAAATCAAAGCTGGCTGAAATTGACTGTGGCGTTGCCGTGGATTGGAATCTCGCAAGGAACAAGTATTGAATGGCTTACAAATTATTGTTCCGGGTCTGGGTTTTTATGTTAGTGCAATTAATGTATGTAAAACGACTCCATGATACAGGAAAAGATCCTAGTTTCTACGAGGACTTTATCTGTATCGTTACATATAACTACATACTTACATTTATATGTAAGAAAAGGAAATTTAGTTAACTTTGACATCACAGCGATTTTCTTACCGCACGAGCTCTATCTGTCTGTAAAGACGTTTGTAAAATAGAATAACAAACTAACAATTTCTCCCCCAGTCAGTGGACGTGCAACAGATAAACGACAAGTTCCCGGAGAAGAAGGGCGGCCTTAAGGAGCTGTACGAGAAGGGCCCAAGGAACGCGTTCTTCCTCGTCAAGTTCTGGGCAGACCTTAACACCAACAACCTGGACGACCCTGGTGCTTTCTACGGAGTCACTAGTGTGTAAGTGTTGTCTGTATACTGTTGCTTGTATACTGTTACTAGTAATAATGTCCTCCAGACCGAATGTCGGCCAGCCTCAACGGAGACTAGCAACCTGCGCAGTACAGGATTATAGTGTCCAAGCGTATGCGCAAGCACATGGAACAAGGAATATAGAGTAAATCTCTATTCCTTCAGTCTCATAGCCCTTTTTATAGGATAAGGGTGACAAACGAGCACACAGTCCACCTGATGGTAAGTGGTTGCTGTGGCCCATAGACATGTACATCTATCTTCGATTAAGAATCAAAATGCAGATGCGTTGTCAACCGTGAGGACTAAGATGGAATGCCTCGTTTCCAGTAAAAAGGGTCTCCGGTTCTCTACACTCACCATACGAAACACAGCAGCGTTAAGCTGCTATTTTTCGCTGGTATTCTGTGGACGATAAAGTGACAACGACCGGAGAGAGATTAGGCGCAGGACCAACAGATTTACGTGCTTTACGAGGCACTGGATTTAAAGACCATCGACTTCCTGACTACATGGTAGTACTAGCCAAGCATTCCTAAGTGCATTTTCAGACTTAAATCGCTTAGGAAATCTGGTTATAACAGTATACCGTTATTAGCGGATTTTCGCTATTGGTATTGAGCACGTTGACGTACGGGCTCGATGAGCCGCCATTTCTAATCCCATTCCTTATCCGTACAGACTATATATAACATGAATAATGATGATCTGTATTCAGTTTAAAGGCAAGAGAAACATCAATTATACATTTAAATGTGGTTTGTTTTTGTTGAGCAGGTACGAGAGCAACGAGAACATGACGATCACGTGCAGCACGAAGGTGTGCTCGTTCGGAAAGCAAGTGGTGGAAAAAGTGGAAACGGAGTACGCGCGGTTCGAAGCCGGACGGTTCGTGTACCGCATACAGCGCTCGCCCATGTGCGAGTACATGGTCAACTTCATACACAAGCTCAAGCACCTGCCCGAGAAGTACATGATGAACAGCGTGCTCGAGAACTTCACCATACTGCAGGTCAGCACATTCATCTCACCTCACCCTTTTTTCCCTAAGGAAATCCTTCTGGACGTGTTTTTCGCGGGGGCAAAAGATAGGTTATGCCGGACTCCTACCGGCTAAAACCTCTCAGTGTTCATTTTTGTCGGAGCTTTGGTAGTTCCCTGATATAGGCTCATTCGTGTTGAGGAGATCTTGAAATCTCCACCCCTAATTTATAGAAGGGAATACCGGCACCTCACTTCACCTTGCCTCAACTCTGAGAACTTAATTACTGCCAGTCTTTTAGTCAGTTTACTAAAAAAATATCTCAAGGGGCAATAATTGCTGCCTTTAGTCAGTTTACTAAAAGAATATCCCGGGGAGCAATAATTGCTGCCTTTAGTCAGTTTACTAAAAGAATATCCCGGGGAGCAATAATTGCTGCCTTTAGTCAGTTTACTAAAAGAATATCCCGGGGGAGCAATAATTGCTGCCTTTAGTCAGTTTACTAAAAGAATATCCAGAAGAGCAATAATTGCTCCCTTTAGCCAGTTTACTAAAAGAATATCCCGAGGGGCAATAATTGCTGCCTTTAGTCAGTTTACTAAAAGAATATCTCGAGGGGCAATAATTGCTGCCCCTAGAACCGTCGCAGTGCTATCGCGATCTATAGACAGGCCTATGTTCTGCGGTAGAATTAATTAATTAATGTCTGTATTTGTGGCACTATGACCACAACAGTTTTTAATTGGTTGCACAGAGTATAGTATTAATGGTAATTCAGACTATTAGAAAGATTGCTATACAAACTTTCTAATAGTCTGACAGCCGTCGTAACTTAGGGCCTAAGCGCTTGCCGTAAATTTCACAGTACGCGAGTAACCCGGGTTTGATCCCTGTCGGCACCAATGAAAATGATAATTGCAATTTTAAGTGCCGATTTACCACGTGCTCGGCGTGAATGAAAACATCGTGCGGAAAACTACTTGTCTGAGAAATAAGAAAAAAAAACAGATATTTCGAAGAGCTGTGAAGTTCGCAACACGCAGTGCGGCGGACATTTCCTTGCCCTAAAACCCTCTCAGAGCTCACCTCTGGAGGCCTGTGCCCAGCAGTGGGACGTACACAGGCAGTAACTTTTTACTTTTACTTTTGCTATACAATGTCGGTCAGGATGAAATTTGGATTTTAATTCAAACGTTTTCCCTCAGGTGGTGTCAAACAGAGATACTCAAGAGACATTATTGTGTGCAGCGTTTGTGTTTGAAGTGTCGAACAGTGAGCACGGCGCACAGCATCACATCTACAGGCTCGTCAAAGACTGAACTCTCCCGCGCATCTCACAGCATCCTACACTGCGGAACTCGCCGCACTCTGTCGCCCGCCACTCGTCGAACATTACAAAAAAAACTGTTCGGTACAAGATTCTAATTGAAATTATTTTTTCCTGTATAGAATGAAACTGAGAAATGTCTCAAGCTGATCATTTTGTATTTGAATAACATATCCAAAAATAGAACATAACTGAAAAAAATATCCGTCTCCCTAAAATATAGACGTGCGTATTGTTAATGTTTTTGAAGTACCTTTCAAATAAGTGAGGATGTCATTGGTAATTTTAACTACATATTTCGATTACATAATTTCAATTTTTTAATGCATGTGCATGGAAGGGGATAAATAAAAGGTACGCTTTACGGAGAGCAATAATTTCTTGAACAACAATTTAATATATACTTTTTTCCAAATCACTACGTGTTTTTTTATAAGGCTAACTTATAGCATACTCAATTTGAATCTGGATATCTTTGTCAGTTATGGAATAATCAGCTAGTGACAGTTTCCTATCCTGTATATAATACAAATTGTAATAAGTTTCAACATAGGAAACTTAATGAATTTATTGCGATTATCTACTTAATAAATATTATTAAGAGTCATGTATGGTCGTTTCTTTTGAAGAAAAATTGGCCATCTATAAGTGGGACCGTTCATTAGCGAAATTCGTATGTTGGTCCCATCATTCTACAACAGGCCCGATTTTAAACAAAAAGTGGAACGAAAAGGTCGTTGATACATTAGTGATGCGTAGAGAAAAAAATGTGATCTGAATATTTACGCTACAAGTATTTTTGTAAATGGAAATTTATGTATAGCTCAATTTTTAAATAAACTGTATCATATAGCGCCAACGGACGTTCGAAGCGATCTCCGGAAATAGTGTCTGTGGTTTTAAAAAAATAATCAAAAATCTTTAATTGATCACGATTAAGAATTTCACAAATAATCACCTTACATTAAAATTGCGTGTAAAATATAAGAAATTTATAGATTTCAATACACACAGTGCCTCTATAATTATGTTACATTAACATAAATTACTTGAGCATTTTTAATCTTCCCACTGCATTTCTGGTGTCTGTAAAATAAACTCAGCAGTGGGGAGGTTAAAATTTAGGATACTGCGAATCAACACATAGTTTGGATAAGTATAGATTTATTAAGACGTCTAGAAATCTATCGGGCTTTCGTTTAGTGCTCTCGATACAATTTCATCGCTTTTCGTTACTTTTGTTAGGTATTGTTTTAAATGACCTCGAATTCATATTGATTTTGTTTTTGGTTTCTAGCGACGTAATGTGGCAGCTTATTATTTAGTCTTCTTTATTACTGTATTTTCAATCTTGTTACTTATCTTTTAAGATGTAGAATGTCTTTCTATCTCTGCCACATGTCTTTGCCACTCGGTTAAACAAAACATTGTACATACAGTTAGGTTGTTGAGGTTGTTATGGGTGTAAAAATTGTATTATAAAAAGTATTGATAAATATATGTCAGCTCGCAATTTACTTTACAAATGCTATAAAAATTATCAGGAGATATTTTGTAAGGCGAGGCTCTAAGAATCATGTCGCTGATTTGTATTTTACATTGAATTTATTTAAGGCTTATTTATAATTTATCATGTCATGCCACTGAACATGATTTCGAGAGCTTTCAGCGTTTTTATTGCAATAAATATGTGAAATTCTTTACGAGTTATAGTATATTATGTTTTATGAGATTTGTCACGCTATATCAAGTTTTGGGTTCTATGCATATTTTAAATTAACACATTATCTGTGCAGCTATTGGTCACTAAAATTAGAAATATAAAGGTCATGTAATTTACAGATCATTAAGTCTGAAACGCTATTGGAATTGGCGATTTTCTAAATTCTTATCAGGGGGTACTTTTTATATTTTCTTATCTGACACTTTCCTATTTTTTTAGATGCATTTTTTTTATAATGTCGTAAGTTTAAAAAGTGAAATATAGAATAGAACATTTTTATTTAATTAACAGTGTAATTTCATTGGTTTTTATTTTTATTTCGTCATTTCCAATGTAAATCTAATAAGCCAATAATATTTTCAAAGAATCCCCGAATTAGGTCTCTTCTGCTTTCTTTCAACTTTCGAAGTACAAAGAGTGACGGCCTGCTGGTTATACATAAGTTTTTTTTTTACGTGGCAATGATTTGATCTCTCTTTTAGTCAAATATTTTTAGGGTCCCTCCCGTTTAAGTTTACAGCGGTAACCTTACGTGCATTAAATAGTTTAGTTTTGAAGACATGCGATAGCAAAATATTATCTTAGATAATAATAAGAGATTTTTTTTGTATTTATTTCATAGATTTATATTAGATAAATTGTAAAGTGAATAGATTTAAGTTTTTTTTTTAATATGGCGATGGTCGTTCAGCAAAATCGTAGGTAATTTCAAATAACTAGTACTTAAGCGAAATAAACTTAATTTTTGTTGCAATAATTAAAAAAATGTTTACGTTTTTTTTCTTTAATTCTGTCGTTACTTGTCGAACGCTTAAAATAAAATAAACTGGAAAGGAGCGAAAGAGATCTGCTTCATTGTGATTTTTATATATTTTTTTAATGTTAAATTAATGTACTCAAAATGAGATTAACCCGACTTTATTCGATTTGTTGTAATTTACACGACTGTTCTCCGATGATAACGTTCAATGGCCGGGGTCCACATTGTATCGTGTTATAGAAGATACTATTAGTGCATTTGTTTCAATTGTAGGTTCGTAAGTATATTTTGCTTCTACAAACGGTCTTTCATATCGACAATCTGCCATATCAATATGAAAATAAAACAGATTTAGTCGACGGCGTTGGAGACAGTCATTTGCTTACGTTTAGTTGTTTTGATCAATTCCTTTAACACTTATCTCGCTCTACGTTAAGTTGTATGACGTGTTGAGAGACGTATAAATTTAAAGCAAATGATTACCTACAACGCCAGCCGACATATGTACAGTATTTTAAAGATAATATTACGTTAAAGATTTGTATGAAAATTTAATTATATTGTCTTCATAATTTTTGTGTATATTTTTTTACCAAACCCCTCTAAAATATATATTATAATATGCTCACACCACAAAGTATCATGAGCTTGCCTTGGCTCGTGTAGTGAATCAAGCTTCTCGGGGAAACACTAATACCGTTATTCAGAGATGAAATTTGAGTCTAGGCTATCGTATTTACACCAATTTTGAATTGTGGAGTTTGAGTTAAAATTGAAGTAATCTTTGATTACCAGAGTAAGGCGTCGTCCTGATTGGCTATCGATCGTACGAGTAAACGATGCGATTTTAACGCACGATGAAAGAGATCGTGCGATGGTCCAAAATGTATCCTAATAGTTCGCGCAACGGCTTCATTTCAACAATGGCTGTAAACAGTAAAACAGTAAAAAACGTGCATCTCAATAAACACATGCACGGTTTTTACTTTCCTAGTTTTCTACTCGTCCCTAATTTGACTTACCGGTGCCGCCCCTCACCCGTTGCGTTACTGCGCTCACGCGATGACGAGTGACCAATTAGGACACTCAAAAGAAAGAATAAAAGTTCTCCCTCAAGACTAGAGAAAGAGACAAGAGATTTGTACCATTAGGCCGACCGACGCCTTAGTCTATAGACATTTTAGCAGCTATATTTTTCGCAATTCACGAGTACGCTTAAACTTTACTTGAGGTTAGAAGTGTACGTGCACGTTATGGCAGTGTGCTTCACGTATCTCACGAGCGTTCAACAGTTGCACGCTTTGGTAATCTTCATCATTCTTCTTTTCTCATCTTCTTTAGTTTCCCGGTTGCGAGTGTATCATACAGTACCATACAGTAGAGCATACGCCAAGTTTTTAGCTTTGATCTGTAAAAAAATATTATATATTCTTTGGGCTAAGGAATATATAATAAAAAATTATTACAGATCAAAGATTTTACAGATCAAAGTTAAACGGGCGCCAAAGACTATAGCGCCCGTTCAACCATACGAACGCACACATTGACACGTCTAGCATATACGTTTTATACGTGGTAGAGCCATGCTGCAGCTATATTAGTAGTATAGTTGTAGCACGAATGGGTCGGCTCGAACGGGGAAGGACCACGCTGTCACAGAATACCAGCGTAAAATGGGAGCTTGACACTGCTATGTTTCGTATGGTGAGTGTAGAGAACCGCAGACCCATTTCACTGGAAAAGAGGCATTCCATATTAGTCCTCACGGGTGACGACGCATCTGTATTTTGATCCTTTATTGAAGATAAAAATGTAGATGTCTATGGGGCTGTGACCCATAGACATCTACATTACCACTTACCATCAGGTGGACTGTGTGCTCGTTTGTCACCCTATCCTATAAAAAAATACGTCTTAGACGTATGTTTCTTTCCCTCATGGAAAATCTATGGTAAAAGCCTATAATCAGAAGTGGATTCTGATAGCTGTAATGAATGAAGACTACTGCTGAATTTTTCCCCTGCCTGACGGGCGTGTTGATGATTGCAATGCTGGGTGTTAATGTATTTTCCAACCGCATTCATAAAGGAGATATATACCATATTTGCCACGCTTTGCAAGCATGTTGGCAACCATCGTTTTTCTTAATTTTTATTGAGTTCTTATGAGTCAAACGCTGCCTGTCCCCTGAATCAGTTTTTTCTTTGTGGACTCAGGTTATACTGTCATTGACTGAAGTTAAGGATTTAGATAAAGCGCATTGGATTCTATAAAATGAAAAAATAAACGGTCTCCCGTGTGTGTTGTGTTGGTTTAAATTACCAACTGCTTGTTCAGAGTTATTAAAAGGATAATTTTACGTAAATTAATGGACTGTATGATGCGAATTTACTATTTCGCGATACTGCAAATGTCCCTAAATTTGGGCTACAGGAAGGATGTGAAGGAATGCATGTGCACTCATTTAGACTTCTGCTGATCTGCCTCGTCTCAAGGGCTGCGGCCACGATGGTTGCACGCCGGCTGTCTTCACACATATAAACTTTACAGATTATCGCGAAATATAGCAAATACTTTACTATATTTTGAATAGTTTAATATCTAAATTACACAACGGAGGAAGCAATGACGCGAGATATATGCGATGCGGTTGGTTGCGTGTCTTCTGAACTTGGGAGAACCCTGTTAACACACGAGTGCACATGCAACGGCAAAAAGATGGTAGATAGGTAACCCGGAAATGGGCTTTGCAGTACTTTTATTGAATAATAATTAACGAATGTCATAAGCGTTAGGCGGTATTGCAAAGTGGCGCGAACAAAAATAGTAAAACAAAAAGGGGATTCCTCTTTCTCTTATTATTTAATCACAATAATCATAAATATTTCTTTTTATATTAAGATAAACAATAATTACGTACGTTACAATAATCATTATACTAAACTTACTCATACAATCTAAATTATCTTTATCAATAAATGATTATATCATATTAATCAGCTATTAACATAATAATTAATCTATTGAAATGATTGGAGATACACTATAAAATATTATCCAGTTATGTTCATTTGTTACTTCACATCGTTTTTTTTAAATATGAGTGTAAATACAGAGCAGTTGTTTACACTTTTAACAATCGTAATTAGCGTTTTGTCACCAAGTCTTTGCGGTAAGTACGGTAGCGAAATACTTAGGTCAAATTTAACAATATCTGCCAACAACGGAATGTTGACTTGTTATGAAATTAACGGTACAATAAGAAATATTAACTTTTAATAGAAAAAGAAATACCTAAAAAATATTTTATTCTTATTAGTGGGCTAATTTTTAATCCTTTTGAGTGGAGGATTTTCACAATCTCAAATTCGTCTAAATAGTGTCATCCTCTGTTTTTTGGGTTTAGCACTGGGTGTAAATTTCACAGTACGCGTGCCACCTGTGTTGGATTCCCGCCGCACAAAGGAAATTATAAATTGTAATTTTAAGTGCTAATTTACCACGTGCTCGGCGGTGAATTAAAACATCGCGAGGAAACCTGCATGTCTGAGAAATAAAGAAAAACATTTCTAAGACATGTGAAGTTCGCCAACACGTATTGGGGCAGCGCGGCGTTCATTTCCTTTCCCTAAAACCCTCTTAGCTCTTAGAAATGAGTGGAGGCATGTACCCAGCAGTGGGACGTACCTAGGCTGTAACTTTTAACTCCTGTTTTGCTATCCTTAGGGATGGAACTATTTCTTTAAATTTATGTGGGGCTACTTTCAAGTATAACCTACTTAATAGAAAAGAAGCATGAAATTCGATTCACAATTAACGAAGATATCGCGTAACATACATACATATACAGTCGAAATGTTAACATCCTCCTTGTTTCGAATTCGCTTAAAAGTAAATGAATGAATATTATGAAACAGATTTACCATGTAAAGCTCGAGATGTCGGTATACAAGGGCGGTCAATAGTGTGCGTGTGTGATGCCAGCTACTGCGATACGATCACCAGAGAAACTCCAGCGCGTGGAACTTTTGTTGCTTACACAAGCAGTAATGTAAGTGCCCTTTTATTTGTTATAATAGTAAAAATAATTATTGAACAGAAATATTTTTAAACTCGAATAGATATTAAACAAAAACCTTTCATAGAGGAGATTATGTTATGCCATAGTTGCCGTACGTATACATAAACCGCATTTTTTTTTTAAATTTTATTGAGATGTTATCAGGAAGATGCTGCTGGCTATCTCCCGATTCAGTTTTCCTCTGTCGACTCTTACAACACCCATGGGATGATATGGGGGTAGTGGATATTGTAACACCGCTACTTCACGTTAATTTCTCGTCTGATTTTTCTCAGACCTCATCTTAAGACTACTGTCGTGAATCACTCCTAACACAAGCATTTTAAGCTTATCAGGAGTCGTGAAAGGGAATATAAGTAATTTTAATAGCATTGCCAGATTTTTTTTATTAAAAAACAGACTAAAGTGTACAATTAGATAGATAGATAGATAACACTTTATTGTACGCCAAAAAACAACATAAATATGAACAAAAATGAGAAAAAGAAATGTGGTACAATGGACGGTCTTATCGCTAAGAGCGATCTCTTCCAGACAACCTTTGGATGGACAGGATTGCAAGAAAACAATAAAAACGTGTGAGGTTTGGCGACAAAAATAACATTATTTTTATTAAAGCCATAAAGTAGAAATATAGAATGGTATAGTACATAGATAAGGTAAATACATACATACTTATTAATTAGTAAGTATGCCCAGTGATTACTTACGGAATTGAAACGTGGTTCTTCACTACTGGCCGTATGAGGAAGCACAGTCACTCGGCGTGTGATGGAAAGGACCATGCTCGGAAATTCCCTGCGAGATAAAGTCCGTAACGAGGGTATCCGCAGGAGAACAAGAGTAACTGATATAGCATAGCCCAGTGGATTAGAAAGCTGAAGCTCGAACAACCGATGAGGCGAAAGGTTCTTGAGTAACAGCCTCGTACTGGAAAGTTTACTGTGTGTAGGTACAAGTTTGCGCGTTTACCGCTAAAAAGAATCCCTTTGTCGTTGCTCCCCAGTTTCAAGGCACTCCCCACGATGCCTCAGCCAGTATGGGAATCCTCGGCGTCGACATATCGAGTGACATGCAGTTTCGTGGTCACTTGGAAGAGAAGGCCAAATTGGCCTCTAAGAAGCTTGGCGTGCTCAGTAGAGCAGGACAGTATTTTATGCCGGTACAACGCCTACAACTTTACAAGGCGCAGGTTCGGCCTCACATGGGATACTGTTCCCATCTTTGGGCTGGGGCTCCCTAGTACCAGCTCCTTCCACTTGACCGCATCCAGCGCAGAGCGACTCGAATCGTCGACGACTGAGTCCTTTCCGATCGGCTCGATTCATTGGCGCTGCGAAGAGATGTTGAATTTGCATTTTCTTTCGCATTTACCACGGGGAGTGCTCTGAGGAATTGTTCGGATTAATCCCAGCCGCCAAATTTCACGAACGTATGTCGCGGCAGAACTCCCGATAGCATCCACACCATCTGGATGATTGGCGGTCCA